CAAAAGGCATCAGTCATTATTGTACGATCATCAACAGGAGAAAAAAAAAACAGCGAGGGAGCCAACACACAGGCCAGAGGTACGCCGTGGTCTTCAGTCATACCAGTCAGTCAGTCAGTCATCCAGGTGGCGACAGACCGTGAAATATCTGGCTGTGTTGGCCTTAGTTCTTGTGTTTGGGGGTGGGGGAAGGGGTGGTGGTGTAGGGGAATGGGTTGATGGTGGTGAGGTGTGGAGGGGTTGGTAGGTGATGGTGGTGGGTGATAGTGTGGGATGTGTGCTGGTGGGTGATGGTGGTGGGTGATGGTGGTGGGTGATAGTGGTGCTGGGTGTATGTGGGTCATCACTATCCCTGGCCTTTTGACACTAGCCGTATCAATCACACGCTCCCTGCATCTGCCCAAGTGTATATCGCCTCTCTCTCTCTCTCTCTCTCTCTCTCTCTCTCTCTCTCTCTCTCTCTCTCTCTCTCTCCGTTCTTCTCCTTACTCCCTTCCATCAATACTACTTGTCCTCCTTCCTTTTCTTACCTCTCTTCCTCCTCTCCTCTTCGCTTTACCTCCAAGTCCTTCTCCCTCCTTCCCTCTACCTCCTCTCTCACCCCCCCCTCATCTCTCTCTCACCCTCCTCCATCTCTCTCTCATCCTCCTTCACCCTCCCTCCATCTCTCTCCTTCAGCCATCTCTCTCCTTCATCATCATCTCTCCCTCCTTCCATCTCTCTCTCCCTCCTTCCATTCCTCCCTCCTTCTCATCCCAAACTCCTCGTCCTTCCCTCCCCCCCTCCCTCCCTCCAGGTGTCCTCAAGGTAATACAGCTTTTTCCCCAATCACTCACTGGACGTAAAAGGCGAGCGAACGATCGTCTGGCTTACTTTCGCTTAGCTTCGTATTGCAGGATGGAAGTGAACGCCAGTGTTTTATAGTGAGATGAACGCCAGCCGAATTTTCTCCTGCTTTCTACTTGTAAATTCTTTCTTTCTTTCTTTCTTTCGTTCTTTCTTTCTTTCTTTCTTTCTTTCTTTAATTCCTAAGGTATACCAATATCCCATCACCAAAAAGAAATATTGAGAAAATTATTAAAAACCACTTTGTTTACTTTTGTTTACCTTAAATCAGCTCAAAGTAAACAAACACTTTGTTTACCTTCAGTCGTACCTATGATAGCAATTAACCCCGTTGCTTACATGTAATCAGCTGATGACAGTGAACAAACTAAATAGGACCCAAGAATTCCTACGGTACGCCACTAGCAAACTATACTACCTACATACACGAGTCCGGTAGTGTGTGTGTGTGTGTGTGTGTGTGTGTGTGTGTGTGTGTGTGTACAAAATAACTAACCATCACACTCACGGCGCCAGTTTAGTCATATTATGCAGGTAGGATGAACCACAGCGAGCCTCAAGTAATACTAATTAGATAAGGAGCCAAAAAAATGTTGGTTTGTGATGTTACGAATACCAAGTTGTTAATCTGTTTATGAATGTTTGAGGTTTTGTTAATATTTGTTAGGTTAGGTTAAGTTAGGTTAGGTTAGGTTAGGTTTGGTTAAATATATCTTATTACAAAACAACCCTAACCTAACCAAACCTAAACTAACCTAACCAAACCAAACCAAACCAAACCAAACCAAACCAAACCAAACCAAACCAAACCAAACCAAACCTAACCAAACCAAACCTAACCTAACCAAACCAAACCTAACCTAACCTAACCTAACCAAACCTAACCTAACCTAACCAAACCTAACTTAACCTAACCAAACCTAGTCAGCGCTTGGAAAAAATCAAATCAAATAAACACAAAGAAACAAACAAATAACTTACGTCTTACAGCACACGTTGACAGATTAACCAAATAGTGAAGATAATAATAAACCTCTTTAGAACCTGTTTACAAATACGTTGGCCATTTAAACTTGTTGCCTACGACCACCCTGGCCAGGAATTAGATCTTATTTGTGTGTGTGTGTGTGTGTTTTATAACTCATCCCCACTATAAAGACTGTTTTTAATTGCTCCAAGCGACAAGGAGATGAGGCAAATAGTTTGTCATATTAGGTAATAGTCTGGTAAACAATGTTCCCATTTTAATAATCAAGCAAACAGTACTTCTTTTAAACAACCAAACAGTATGTTTTTATAAACAAGCAAACAGTGTCTTTCTATGAAAAAACAAACAATGTCTTTTAATAAACAAACAAACAGCGTATCTTCTTATAATCAAGCAAACAAGTCTGAACTTTCTTTAAACAATCTAACTACACTGCCCACAGACTCTGCAAGCACAAGCACATCTTTCAGAGTATACAGGCAGGCAGGTGGAGGTGATGCATCTGGTTATAAACAAAATATCTAATTAGCCGATAGTGCTGTTGTTGTTTACGTAATGTCTGGCGCAGGTAATGACCACAGCATCTGGGCTTAGATCAATAAGCAGTTTGTGGGTGTGTGTAATAATAATAATAATAATAATAATAATAATAATTAACGGTTTATTGAAAGAGCTTGGCAGCCAGAAGGCTGAAAATATACAGTTACATATTTGGGGAATGGGTTACGAATTACAAATAATATACAAGTAACATAAGTGACACAAATAAGACATATAATAACTAGATGGGGGAAAAGCTCAAACTACAGTTCATTTCAACATAGTGACAGTGCAAGGAGTAGTGTTTACTGGGAGTGAATACACTGATTTATTACAAGTTATTGATAATTTTTACAATGGTTGGGACTGGGCTGTTCTTATAGCGATCAGTTCGTGCACGTATGGGTGTGCGTGTGTGTGTGTGTGTGTGTGTGCGCGCGTGCGTGCGTGCTCAACACCTCTACACCTGCAGCAGACCTTCACTACTTCCACAACACCTCCACACCTGCTCAATACCACCTCCACACCTGCCAATACACGCTAATTAACACCCAGACACGAGGTGCATATCAAACTTTCCAATCCTTCACCTTTGACTCTCTCTCTCTCTCTCTCTCTCTCTCTCTCTCTCTCTCTCTCTCTGAATCTATCCATCTATCTATCCATCTATCTATGAATCTATCCATCTATCCATCTCAGTTCCTTGTTATAATGTTAATGTCCACAGGTAGTTACCACAGTCAGGTCACCTTCGCTAATGAATCTCCGTTTGGCTCAATTTTATCGTAGGTACATGAATAAAATATGAGAGAGAGAGAGAGAGGGAGAGAGAGAGAGAGAGAGAGAGAGAGAGAGAGAGAGAGAGTCGTCATACCATTGGCAATACTTTTATACACAAGTTCGGGTAAATACAATACAATATAACATTAACCTTATTAAATAAAAATCATCTTTATGTCACTTATCCATTCGAAATCTTATACCAATATCAAGAAACGAGCCACATATGCCCCTCTTACCCGGGTTATTGCAGTTGCAAATTACCATATGACAAAATTTCAACATATTTTTTGGTGATATATCATAAACTGGTATTAATTTCACCTCTATTGACTTATATCATAAAGGCTAAACTCCCAGATACGAGTGAATGTCAACAGCTGTAATCTGACACTTGTATTATCGCTCGTATGGTAGTGTGTCAGAGAGGTGGTAATCCCATTGTGGTGTTTGGGTACTTTGAGGCAGTTTTTGTGTGTGTTCACTTATGTATGAATAGTAGTGTGTGTGTGTGTGTGTGTGTGCGTGTGTGTGTGTGTGTGTGTGTGTGTGTGTGTGTGTGTGTGTGTGTGTGTGTGTGTGTATACAGTATCATACACGGGGTTGATGTTATGATAACAATCGCTACTCAATTGGCATCCTTAACTACTATTATAAATAAATCAACATCTTTCCAACCACACCATCTATATAGCCCATCACTCCAACCACAACAACTACCAACATTATCACCAACATTGCAACACAATCACCACCATTACTATAACTTCTAGCTACTACCCCACCCAACACCCCACCACCAACAACTCTACCCACCACACCTACACCAACACCCCCACCACCAACACCCCCACCAACACCCCCTACCAACGCCCCCACCACCAACACCCCCACCACCAACACCCACACCAGCACCCCACCACCAACACCCCACAACACCCCCACCACCAACACCCCCACCACCAGCCCCACCCCCACCACGCATCCCCCACCAACAACCCACCACCCACCACCAACACCACCACCACACCACCACCACCCACCCCACCACCAACACCCACCACCAACACCCCCCCACCACCACACCCCCACCCCACCCCCCCACACCACACCCCCAACCCCCCCACCACCAACACCCCACCACCAACACCCCCCACCACCAACACCCCACCAACACCACCCCACCACCACACCCCACCACCACACCCACCCACCACCACACACCACCACCCACCACCACCAACACCCCCCACCCCCACCACCAACACCACCAACCCCACCACCAGCACCCCACCACCAACACCCCACCCCACCACCACACCCACCACCACCAACAACCCACCACCACCCACCAACACCCCCCCACCAACACCACCGCCAACCACCACCACTACCACCTTCCCTCTCCCACCACTACCCCTACCACTACCTAATACTACTACCCCCCCCCACCACTACCACCACCACTACCCTCTGCATCCTGTCACCTGTACCTTCCCACCACCACCACTATCACCTCCCACCACCCCTCCACTCTCCCTCCCCTCACCCCCCCATCACCTCCCCTCCCACCACCACCGTACCCCCCCTCCCCAAGTGACAGCACAGACAGACACACACGTCACTCATCCACTTGTTGAAATACGATCTGTTCTCCCCCCGTTCACCGCACCTCCACCACCTTCTTCTCACTCCTGACGAAGGCCAAGAAGAAGAAGTAGAGGATTCGAACCCGCCTCCTTCCCGAGTCTCTCTCTATCACGACCACACGCCACCAAAAGACTATCACGAACGACTCATGGTACGACCCGACACAGAAACGGATTATCCATATAAAGATCAGACT